CGACATGTGTTTCGTCTACGACGGTCAAACGCAGAAGGTTGGCTTGAGTTGGCGTATGCTATTTGATTGCAGCATCTGCAGGACCCAACATTTTTCTTGCCTGATGGGAACGGGGGATATGTTCTTCTCGAATATCCCTAATGCTTTTTTTGATCAGTATACTGAAGACAACCTTAAAATAGCATACTGCCGTTACATGTTGTATGTTCAGTATACTGATCAAAAAACCCGTTTTGGAGACTGTTTTGAAAGAATCCTCAAGACGTTTCTTCGTCACTTTTCCACTGTTGAAGGCTCGACCATTCACCACCAGGTTGGCGAGATTACATCTCGGCGCGGGCAACCCAGCCTGCTCCCGCCGAGATGTGACCACTGCAAGATTATCGCCGAAGCCCCATCAATCTTCCTTCATCATTCACCTCCCTGTTCCCCCCAGCCCATTTCTTTTGTCTCATGCCATCTTCTGCCTCCTCTCCGTCCCTCCCCTCCCCTGAGGAAGAGTCGCATTCACCGACAGATGCGGTATTGCCCACGAATCAACTTGACGATCGGCCTGAAGATACATCAAATCTGCCGAACACTGAACACGTAATTCAAGGTGAAGAGAGTGCGGGGGGTGGGCAAGGATCGAGCGGTGGACGAGGATCGAGCGGTGGACGAGGGTCAAGCGTCGGACGAGGGACGCGCGGTGCACGAGGGTCGCGCCGTGGATCCGCCGCGCGTCGACGAGGCTCGCGAGGAGGAAGAGGTTCGCGTGGTGGGCGTGGAAGGGGACGTGGCCGAGGTCGAGGTGGAACAAGGGGTGGAAGAAATCAATCGGACCTGTCACAAGGATGGAAGGTGATACGTAATGAGTGTGCATCAGTCATGATGGAGGAAGAGTTTACGAACATCGTGGTTGGGAATAGAGCAGGACTGTTCTGCCAAAATGCAGTGAAGAAGCTTATCACAGAGTGCGCAGTGAGAGGAATTTTGCCTGGTCGTTGCGGTTTTGTCATTCTGTTATGCCAGGGGTTGTTGCGGCAAATGTTGGATTGGATCAACGAGAGCATTCGTATGCATCGAAGCGAAGAGGAGCCTCTTACGATGCCCGACATGTATCGATTTCTCTCGGTTATGCTCTTTAGTCACACATCAGGATTTAGCTTTGAGAAAGCTGTTCTTGTTATGCGTGCTTTGGGAAATGATACCCCTCCTCTTCATCGCCTTCGTTTTATTTGCACAAATCTTCTGGCCTATTCACCGACGGGAAGGGGGAATGATGGGAGTGTTTCTTGGAATTCACAGCGCGATCAGACTCGACTACTGTCTGAGTTCGAGAACCTTGCATTTCGGGAAACAAGGAAGGTCTTTTTCTGTCCGTTACATCTACTCACCACGCTCGACGATGATTTGTTCGGCACAAGAGCCGTCGATGATCAAGTGAAAATGCCCAGTCAGCGTAAGGCAGACAAAGAAGGACACGCGGCAGATTCAATCGCCGACGCACTATTTCGGGTTGTTCTTGGGTTACGGTTTAGAAGAAGAGGAGAGGCTCAAACCGTCTCAGTCTCCAAACTCCTTACCACAATCTTCGATGACAAGGGTGAGGAAGCTGTGAATGGTTGTGTCATAACGGCCGATAGGGGGTATGGAAAGGAAGCGTTTTTGGACATACTCAACGCAAATGGACTTTGCTCCATTCTAGTTATGCTTGAGCATCTCATCCGCTGCCACCCCTTCGTTGGGCAGTCGTTTTTGAACGTGTACCGTAACGACATAGAGGAAGCCGCGGACGTCACGACGACTCAATCCGAGCGGGGCTCAGGGCAAGGCAATGAAGAAGGTGGGCGGGATTCAGTGGGAGAGATTCGGGATAGTGGCGCAAATGTCATCAGTGAGGGAGACGGGGAGGGAGCGGCGGGGGGTCAGGACGCACTGAGTAAGGAGACGAGGGGAGCGCACGGACAGGGTGCTCAATTCGATCGTCCTGCTGCTTTCGTCATTCCAGACCATGGAGGCCTTGGTCCCGATGTACGTCTAGCCACAAAGCCCATTTCCGCAAACGGTAAGAGGGTGGGGGTGAAGAAGGTGACAGCAATTGCCGTTCGGGAGCACGGTACCGAGAAGTTTTGCAAGATACTTCGGTTCCTCTACACTGTACCTCCAAGCGTGGGTGACATCCTAAACACTTGGATTGCTGTACCGAAAGAAAAAGAAACGGCGGGCGCGGAGATTCTCTCCACCAGAGTCAATGGAGAGAGCATTCATGGGCGAAGCATGAAGGAGGGATTGGAGAATTGTTTGCGCCAAACTTGCATGTGCCTTACTACAGCACAGCGTTGTGCAGATTGGTTCCTACTTCGCCAGTTTCGCATCACTGGCACAAATGCGGGGGCTTTTCTGATGCGCAATGGCGCAGTTCGCACTGCACTCGAACTGGACGGTAAGGGGGAAGTGCAGGAGCGCACCAATGAAGAGTGGTTCCAGATACTTTCTAATTTATGGTTCAGCTCAAAAGTATCTACGGAATCTATGATGCGGGGTAGTGTGAACGAAAAAGCAGTTGGGCACGCGTTGCGCAGAATGGAGATGTTTGGAGAATTCTTTGAGGTGGGGATGTTGTCAGTGCTGGATGCACCGTACCTGGCATGCTCTCCTGATGGTATAGTGCTGCTGCGGGTGGACAGTTTTAAGGATGGAGCATTCGATGAAGATGACATCATTCATGTCGAGGGCACATCCTACGTGCCGGCAACAGTGGAGATTAAGACTCGCGTGCAGCCAGCGAGTCTTGGTCAATCGCTGGCGCAAGTGTCCCTCAATCTGATCAGTTGCATCATGGGAGATGAGACCTTTCACAAGTACATTCCCACAGAGCACATGGGACAAATCTTGCATCAATTGGTTGTGATGTCATTGCGATTTTCCATCTTCGTTGCGGCCTCTGAGACAGGTGTTCTCTACAGAGTTTTAATTCGCTCTCCTCAAGAGACAATTAACGTAGCCCGGGAAGCGCTTGAATCACTTTCATCCCCGTTGTTGAGATGGGCGTATGAGGAGCCCCATGAAATACCGAGATTCGTGACAGGGTCTGTTCGAGAATTGGTGGAGTCCCGGTTTCCTTTTTGGCAAGTCATTAACCGGCGGGTTTTGGATAAAGGCTGTTTTCATCCTCTGAAGCTGTTCAAACATGCTTCTCAGACTATCTACAGCAAAACGAAAGCAGGTGTCGACGGATCAACGCAGCAAAGGGCAATGCTACGGTCTTCAACGTCACATTTAAAGTGGGAGCAAAAACTGGCAGTTCAAACGCTGAAAACTATGGCGCTAAACGCCTTTTTGCGTTTCGCATCTACGAGCGGAGGTCTCTACTCGTTACGGTGGAATCATTCAAAACCCTTGAAAAGTTCAGGAATCTTTTAAACAAAGTACAGTCCGCCGCGGACTTCATGTTCGATTTGTCACAGGAGCTGCTACACTACGTTGCATCTCTGGAGGTAATGGATAGGAGAAATAATGACATGCGCACGGATGATAGTGCTGCCAAAATCTCTGACAATGATGCTAAACGTCTTGTTGGCTTAGCAAAGGGGCGAAAGCGCAAGAGATTATTTTTCTTCAATTCAGAGGACGGCAAAGGACTGAGGCTCTCCGTCAGCGGGCATCAACCTAGACAGGGTCCGGTTCACTACTGTACACTTTGCAGTCAAAACAGTGGCTCTTGTAGAGGACATAGGACGAAGTATCAATGCACACTTTGCAGCACATTTCTTTGTATCCGAACCTACCCCGGCTTGCGCAAAAGTTGTTTTGAGGTATGGCACACAGCAAAGCATCTATCCCTGAGAAGCCTCCACCAAGCTCCGCCGATTGAGAGACAGGCAGTGCCAGAGCACGGCGAAAATGAAGGGACTGAGCCGATTATCGGCGAAAATGGAGCTACGAAGAACCATCAGAGTCCATCTTCTGAACAACCTGTGGCACAGAGACTACGCAGTCATCACCGTGGAAGTGTTTGATACACATGTCGTCAATGTAGAAGTAAGCCGTATTGTGTATCATTCGTGTATGGAAAGGTCAAGCTATGGTCTTTATTGAGCAGTATACTGATCAGAACGCTGTTTTTCGGGTGCTTGTGAGGTCTCCTGAGACCAGACTTCATGTTTAAATAAATCTGCCCGTATTTGGCTATGTAGCGCCAAACCATGCCGACATGTGTAACTGACTCTGTATTGTGGCCCTATGCGGTTTGTTTTGGTATTAGTAGACGCACTGCGAAACACGCGGAGTCGGAAGGTTCTGTGCAGTATACTGATCATAAAAAAATGGCATTAGGGATATTACTACTTCAGCCTTACTCAATTCTTTGTTGAATTGGCAATACAGAGATAGTAAGTTGAGCAACTACGCATCCGGCCCCAGTCCGCAGTTGCCGTCGATAGTCCAAAAGCGAGATCATCGTTCCGGAAGTGGCCGGCGTGGAGGGGCGGCTGGATGTGGAGACGGATTCGGGGGATGTGGAGACGAGGGTGAGCTTGCCGAGGGTGGTGTCGATACGCACAGGACTGGGGGATGTGAGACTGGGGCTGCCGGAGCGCTTGAAGGCCGGGGTCGTGCTGGAGGGGGAGACGCTGGATGTGCAGAATGGCGTGCTGGAGAGGGAGGAGGGAGAGGGAAAGATGGTCCGAGGGGAGATGGGCGAGGGGGACGGGCAGGGGGACAGGGCGTCTGTGCATGCCAGAGCTCCCGTGGGGGTCGTAGTGGTGAGAAAGCAGAGCTGGTGCCAGGTGTCCGCTCCTGCCAGCAGGAGCTGATGCGAAGTTCGCCGGACGGGACGAAGGAGGAGTTTCCGAGATGGGCAGTTCTGGTATATTGCAATTATTACATTTTGTCGTTATTCACGGCGCATGCGCAGTTTTGAATGAGGGCGAGCGGGGCGTAATTGTGCAATTCCAGCGTGCGGGGGCACACTGAATGTTGTGTCCGACTACCTCCCCGCGGGCGACGACTATCCCGCGATGCCCTTTACTGGCGACTCGTTGCTCATCCGCGTCTGCGTCCGTGGCCGCATGGACTTCCAAGACGGCGACCCGGAGGCCCTGTTACGTAGTGTCATTGAGAGACTGTTCTCATTGCCGCCCGATACCGTCGTGTACCGGGCACACGACTATCGCAGATTATTGTTTTCCACCATAGCCGATTAGATAGTGCACCATCCAAGGCTCAATATCGGGAATACGATAGTTGAAATCAACGAGAGCGTGCGCGATTTGAAATTGGCTTTTTCACACGTCTTTCGGTTGTGAAACTCTAGGCTAGCTTTGGCACTTCACACAGGGGCCCGAGTACTTTCTTCCAGTTCCAAATGCTTATACGCACTTCTCTGTTTCGTCTTTGCCGTGCTTACAAGACAAGCCAGTCTAGCAGGCGGCGTTTCTTCTACACGAACCACACCTCGGGGCTTGCGGATCCTCACAAGTTGTCGCACTTCAGCGCTCAAAGCTTTCTCCACATGTTTGACAAGGACCAGAACATTTTCCTCTTCGCCCAAACACTTTCGCACGCTTCCTTTTCCGTCCTTGCCTAATTCGCAGGATTGTCTTTTTTCGCCGTCTTAAAATTGGTTGGCGATCATGTTCTATGTCTTCATCGTCCATGTGATCATCCGCATCGTCGTTTGGATGCTGTTCAAGAAAGTTATAGGCAACACGAAACATTTGTCCAGGAACGCCATTGCCGTTATGCATTCCATCTGCGGAGTCATATTCATCTCCTAAATCAGCATCGTCGTAGTCAAGTAAGTCATGTTCGTCGTGATCACCGGGTACTTCGTAGTGTATCCCCTCACTGTCTGCATCCATATTGTCGTCATCTGCTACGATATCATCCTCACTATTGTCGCCACCAGCTATTATTTCGTACGTGTCCCGCAATAGCTCGTCAACTTCATCTAAGACTAAGACCTCGTCATTGACTTCCACTGGGGCGCCGGAATCCAGGATCGGAGGAAACTGAAATCGAGTGCGGTTAGAGTGATCATCATCTTGTCTCGCCTGATTTTTGTTGGGGCATTTCGCCATCCACATCGAGCGAATAACCAGCGATTTCGTCATCTCGATTCTGGACTTCGTCGTTGTCTGAGCTGTAGTCATCCAGATCATTGTGTATAAGCTGGTCATCGTCGGGAAAAGGGGCAAATCTGTGATCGTCGTGAGCATCAATGTCGTCATGGGGAAAGTGACGCACGTATTGGCGCAACGTGATCGATGGAAATGATTGCAGAGGTCTTGCCGAAATTCCTTCACTGTTTGATAACCTTGCGATTAAAGCTGTGCAGCTCTCGTCAAATGACTCACCGTATAAAGTTGCCAGTCCCGCCAGACAGCAGGGCAATCTGCAAAGCGTCTGTTCCTAGTTAGTTGACTTCATGGGGCTGCAATCACTCATTGATGAAACAGGTTTTAATTTTATCTGTGTGAGGAGGGGCTGGATACGTCTGAGCCACCGAGATTGACAGTCGCCCAAAACGAAAGTCAGTCTAATAGACGCATAACTATGCAGCCTGAGAACTTCGTAAGGGAGGACGACGTGAATGGGAAGAAAGACATTGCCGTCCAGTGTAAAACGTCCGCGGTGAAGTGGCTTTCGGGTATGCGCGTGGTTTGATGTGGATGATGTTCAAACTGGGTCCAGTTTTGCTTTTTGCAAGCCCGTTTCCAATCGATTTAGCAAACAGACCCGCAGGAGGCTGGTGCGGATGCGTCGCGGGCGATATCGGACGCGGCGGCGATCCTGCAAGAAGCCGGAAAGGTCGGGGAGGAGTTGTACATGCCAAACAACAGGACGTGTGGAAGGAGATGGTACGGCAGACGTCAATCCCACGCGAGAGCGGTGCGCGCGAGTTGGAGCTGGACGCGTTCGAGATAGAGCGACAGCTGGGGACGGCTGGGAACGGCAGGAGAGTTCGCGGAGGTGGCCGTAGCGGCGGTAAAGAGGTGCGCAGAACGGAGCTCGATGCTGGGAAACTCCCAGACCCCCGTCGAAATGCGCGTTTCCAATCCGTTGACCTTCGTTTCGTCCTTTCCCTCCCGCGCCCGTCCATGCTGCCCTCCAACCGCCCTCTCACGATGATGGGTGCGTCGACTGATTGAAGCTGACGGTGCGTGGACTCATCATCCTGATCTGATCATTTGTGCCACGGTCCCTTCTCCTTTGTCCCATAGAAAACGTCCTTACATCTCCGGGGACGATACGGGGAGCGAGACCAGACTGCAGAGAGCAGTTCGATTAGAAAAAAAATCAATCACTCGAGCAAACCTCAACTTCTCATGCGATGGTAACTAATCTGGAACAAATCTTCAGTTTTTAATTAAATAATCAAGTTCTTCGTCTTCTCTCCTGCCAGCACTGCAATCTGTCCTGGAGTCGCTAGCCCGTCTGTTCGCGACACGCACCGGCACCACCTTTGGTATCTACAGCCAAGTGCGTCTCTCCCAGCGCCTGCAATCAGCTTCATCATCCCCTGTGCCGCACACATGACCTCCTTGTCCAAGAACAACGCACACCCTACCCATGTTGCGGAGACGACTGGAGAGCGGCCAGTCAGCATCTGAAAGTCGATCTGGTAAGCAGCAAGGGGAGGGTGCATCGCAGGACAGCCCTCTGCCGAAGACGCACGGGGGTGGACGATGTGGTTCATCTTCACCCGGGTCGCCGAAGAAGAAGAAAGCCAAGCCTGAAATTTGAGGTCCTCTTGTTTTTTTTCCGACTTGTCGCTGAGTGAGTCCGCAGGCGTCCGTTTGATATGAGCGTAGACATCAAGATGCATGTCAGAGTATGAATAGGAGCATGCCACCGTTCGCGTTGGAAACAGAAGGCCTTTATCGCGTCGCAAATATGTCTTCTGCACACGGCGAAGGAGAGTTGTCTCCGGCGCGCAGAGGCAAACGTTACGCTTTTGGGTGTGCGTGTCAGATATGCGGGCTACTTTTCGTTAGTAATGGCTGTGAAGATAAACTGGATCTATATTACTTCTCACAACTTTCTCACAACTATGGCTTTTCATTTACTATCTTCAATTGCTTGCATGATTTGGCATAATCAAGAACACTATCTAGTTGTCCGCTATAATATCTGTCACGGCTAACCCGCACAGACTGCAAATCTGACTTCCCTTCCAAAGAGCATATCTTTTCTTACCTTTCTGTATGCTTTTGCTCTACTTGTTTCTTTCTGGACGGGCTGTTGGTGCCCGAACCATTGGGCGAACCATTGTGGTGGCTTTGGGTTGGACTTCTATCGCGCTTTTTCAACCTCTTGTTCTCTTCCCTCAATTTATCTATCTCTACATCTTTCTCTGCAATCTTTGCTTCTTTCTCTGTAATCTTTGCATCTTTCTCTGTAATCTTTGCATCTTTCTCTGCAATCTTTGCATCTTTCTTTGCAATTTTTGTGTCCCTGTGCTGCAGCTCGTACGCAATCACCTTAGTGCCACTCGGAGGATTGAGCAACTCTTTCACCGTTATCTTGTCTTCACGGCTGAAGATACGGCATATGACGGACTCATTTCCCCGATAGATCTTTCTGTGGTACATCGGCGAACTGCCACTGGCGCGAGTGGTTATAGTAGGATCGCCAGACCCTTGTCGGTCTCCGTCCTTGTCGCTTCGGCCATGAAGTTTACCCACAATGACGCAAGCATCTTTTCCACCAACTCCACCACGGTCGACAATAACGTATTCTTCGATGTTGGCTCGGCGGTACGCTCTCCACTTATCGTCGAGGTCGATATTGCGAGTGGAGGGACTCGTGACCTCAAACACGAGTACGGGGGGATCAACGTTTTTTCCAAACCTGATTGTCTTTGATTGCTCGCCTGCTGTGGACTCCATAGCTCTATCGTCACGATATTTGCCGATGGAGACATCCGGCTCGCGTACCGTGTCCGATTTGCCAGAGGAACTAGACCCACCTGGGGAGGACGTAGGTGAGCCGGAGTCATCGAACACCTCACCGAACTGAGCCTCCAGAGCCCTCCTGCGACTCGGTATGTACACTTTTCCGCGTCCATAAATGGTTATGTACGCTTTCTTAGTGGCGTGAGCAACTTGAGCTTTGCTGATAATGTAGGACACTATGCGTTCGTGCAAGTTATCGCCCATCCTTGGTGAGAAGACAAGCAGGCCGTCGACGAGGTCGTATTTCTCACGGTCACCTTGCGGAAGTTCGGCGTACCGCGTAAACGTGCAGGGGGTAAGATGAAGGGCCCTGGGTTCTTCGTCGATGTGGTCCGAATGACCTGGTCGTTTTGCCACTTGTGCAGGACCTGGAAAATCTGCAACAAGTTCGTCGACGATTGCAGACGGGGCGCTATTGTTGTCCTTCGTTATGGTTGAGGCCATGTCCATGCAGTGCCGTCGATCCGTGCGGTCGACACGGGCTTTAGGGGTTATATAGAATGGTTCTTGAAAGCTGGAAGACGCCAGGTAACTTTGGATGATCACCAGGACGACTGAAATAGCCAGTTTATCCCGAAAAACTGCAGATCTAAAATATTAAAGGAGGGAGGAATGAAGGGTCCACTGCAAACGTTATTTTGGAAAACACGTGTTTTGGCTAAAGGCTAACATGTACATTCGAGTCACGACAACTTGTTTGTCTCAGTTGGCCTACGCATCCTGCTACTTTCCTAAAATCAAATCGCATTTCCTATTCATCCGCATACTTGCTTATCCTATTTGCCTACTTCCCCGACCCTCCCCCACCCTTCTTCGAGCCTTGTCCGCAGAGGTCTTTCTTCTTGCCTTTCTTCTTGTCCGGGCTGTCGCTGCGCGAGTAATTTTTGTCCTTGCTTCCGCTTGCCCCTGTTTCATCCGGACTTCTGTCGTTTCGGCCGCGCTTATTCAACCTCTTGTTCTCTTCCCTCAATTTATCTATCTCTACATCTTTCTCTGCAATCTTTGCTTCTTTCTCTGTAATCTTTGCATCTTTCTCTGTAATCTTTGCATCTTGCTCTGCAATCTTTGCATCTTTCTTTGCAATTTTTGTGTCCCTGTGCTGCAGCTCGTACGCAATCACCTTAGTGCCACTCGGAGGATTGAGCAACTCTTTCACCGTTATCTTGTCTTCACGGCTGAAGATACGGCATATGACGGACTCATTTCCCCGATAGATCTTTCTGTGGTACATCGGCGAACTGCCACTGGCGCGAGTGGTTATAGTAGGATCGCCAGACCCTTGTCGGTCTCCGTCCTCGTCGCTTCGGCCATGAAGTTTACTGTGGCGTGGGCAGTGCTTTCGGGATGCCGTGAGATTTGCCAAACGCGGTTGAAAATCCGAGCAAAACTCGCGGCCAAAACACGTGTTTTCCAACATAACGTTTGCAGTGGACCCTTCATTCCTCCCTCCTTTATTATTTTAGATCTCCAGTTTTTCGGGATAAACTGGCTATTTCAGTCGTCCTGGTGATCATCCAAAGTTACCTGGCGTCTTCCAGCTTTCAAGAACCATTCTATATAACCCCTAAAGCCCGTGTCGACCGCACGGATCGACGGCACTGCATGGACATGGCCTCAACCATAACGAAGGACAACAATAGCGCCCCGTCTGCAATCGTCGACGAACTTGTTGCAGATTTTCCAGGTCCTGCACAAGTGGCAAAACGACCAGGTCATTCGGACCACATCGACGAAGAACCCAGGGCCCTTCATCTTACCCCCTGCACGTTTACGCGGTACGCCGAACTTCCGCAAGGTGACCGTGAGAAATACGACCTCGTCGACGGCCTGCTTGTCTTCTCACCAAGGATGGGCGATAACTTGCACGAACGCATAGTGTCCTACATTATCAGCAAAGCTCAAGTTGCTCACGCCACTAAGAAAGCGTACATAACCATTTATGGACGCGGAAAAGTGTACATACCGAGTCGCAGGAGGGCTCTGGAGGCTCAGTTCGGTGAGGTGTTCGATGACTCCGGCTCACCTACGTCCTCCCCAGGTGGGTCTAGTTCCTCTGGCAAATCGGACACGGTACGCGAGCCGGATGTCTCCATCGGCAAATATCGTGACGATAGAGCTATGGAGTCCACAGCAGGCGAGCAATCAAAGACAATCAGGTTTGGAAAAAACGTTGATCCCCCCGTACTCGTGTTTGAGGTCACGAGTCCCTCCACTCGCAATATCGACCTCGACGATAAGTGGAGAGCGTACCGCCGAGCCAACATCGAAGAATACGTTATTGTCGACCGTGGTGGAGTTGGTGGAAAAGATGCTTGCGTCATTGTGGGTAAACTTCATGGCCGAAGCGACAAGGACGGAGACCGACAAGGGTCTGGCGATCCTACTATAACCACTCGCGCCAGTGGCAGTTCGCCGATGTACCACAGAAAGATCTATCGGGGAAATGAGTCCGTCATATGCCGTATCTTCAGCCGTGAAGACAAGATAACGGTGAAAGAGTTGCTCAATCCTCCGAGTGGCACTAAGGTGATTGAGTACGAGCTGCAGCACAGGGACACAAAAATTGCAAAGAAAGATGCAAAGATTGCAAAGAAAGATGCAAAGATTGCAAAGAAAGATGCAAAGATTGCAAAGAAAGATGCAAAGATTACAGAGAAAGATGTAAAGATTGCAGAGAAAGATGCAAAGATTACAGAGAAAGATGCAAAGATTGCAGAGAAAGATGTAGAGATAGATAAATTGAGGGAAGAGAACAAGAGGTTGAATAAGCGCGGCCGAAACGACAGAAGTCCGGATAAAACAGGGGCAAGCGGAAGCAAGGACAAAAATTACTCGCCCAGCGACAGCCCGGACAAGAAGAAAGGCAAGAAGAAAGACCTCTGCGGACAAGGCTCGAAGAAGGGTGGGGGAGGGTCGTGGAAGTAGGCAAATAGGATAAGCAAGTATGCGGATGAATAGGAAATGCGATTTGATTTTAGGAAAGTAGCAGGATGCGTAGGCCAACTGAGACAAACAAGTTGTCGTGACTCGAATGTACATGTTAGCCTTTTGCCAAAACACGTGTTTTCCAACATAACGTTTGCAGTGGATCATTCCTCCCTCCTTTAATATTTTAGATCTCCAGCTTTTCGGGATAAACTGGCTATTTCAGTCGTCCTGGTGATCATCCAAAGTTACCTGGCGTCTTCCAGCTTTCAAAGGACAGACATTCTATATAACCCCTAAAGCCCGTGTCAACTGCACGGAACGACTGCACTGCACGGACATGGCATTTCTGGTGTGGTCCTAAATTTATTTCGGGGAGTGTATACCGTCATTGCACGTAACCGGCCAAGCCAACAGGCAATACATGTTGCGTTGTAGTGTCTGCAGAGAATTGTTGAAGCTCAAGCTTGCCATGCGCTGAAGGCTTCACACACCCTCGACGTCATGAAAGCCCCCTCGGTGATGAGGTTCAAAGCCATTTTTTACACCTATTTTCAAGTCTCTCCAATCCAGAATGCTTCTTCTGTACATGGCCGAATTCTTCATAGCGCCTTGCAACCCATTCTTTGATCTGACATAAGATTGGCAAAAGATGCCGCGCGCGGATCGCAAGCACGCATAAATTGACAAGGGCAACATCGCTTCCTTCGTCTTTTCCACCACTGCCTGAGGCAGACACCGGACAACGTTGCAGAGAATGCAGCAGCTGAACAAGAACACAAACCACAGTTTTGCAGTTCGACATAGCGAAATCGCGCGGAACGAGAGGACGAGAGTGGCGCTAAATTCTTTCCGGTGAGATTTGATAAATATGTTCCTTAGCGAGAGATTGAGTGTGATCGCCGGTGAGCGATTCGTCCGGGTGGCCAGCGACAGTAGGAGGAAGGGGGATAGCCTTAGTATGGCCAGCTGGGCTCTTGTCCATGTTGGAGCGCTCTGGGCGCAGGACACAGCACCAGACACAAGCGAGGATAGCGATGATGGCAGAACCAATAGTAATAGAAATGACTGCGATGGCGAGGTTGCGGGGCAACGTTTTGGGCCGTTGGGGAGGGGGGGTGTCAGAGCCGGAACTACCCGGTCCATTGCCCCCAGCTAGTTCTGGCGGTGGGGTGCTGTCGTCAGGTGCAGTTTGTTGGTGAAGCTTGAAGGGCTGCTTCTGGCTTTGCACGACTGAGAATGTGAGAAGGAAGACGAAGATGAGAAGGACGAAACGAATGGAGAACGCCATGGTGGGCTCACACGACGAAACGGGATGAAGGGCAAGTCGATTTCGCCAGACGTCTTGTTGGTGAGCAAGGCAGGTGTGAAGGTGATGATATGCCGCACATACTGCGGTCCTCTGCGGATTGTGATGGATGACGAGAATGGCAGGGAGCGAAAAAGGTTCATTTCCGGAGTGCCACGTGTAAATCATTACATCTAAAAATGGTGTTTACATGTGCGCACACTCCTGCTTGGACACTTGTCATTGGAAAAAGGTAAAAGCCATCCACTGGATGGATCCACTGAGCAGTGTGAGGGCCGTTCCGAACGAAGAGTTGATGGTGCCAGCACCCGAGGACCCTGACATTTGGCATGAATGGATTGGTTATAAAAAATATTGGAAATGCATTCCTCCCATTCAATCAATCCCGTTTCAAGCCAATCGACGTCTTTATCCCCCATTTCACTGTAATTACAGTGCCCTCAACGCAGGCTGGAGTCTGTGGCACTGTAAAACAGGGCATGTTAAGGCACACCCTGTGGGTATGTCTTAACATGCCCCGTTTTTCGGTAGTTTGCTTTGCTCTGCCCAAAGAGGTGATTTAGCGTGCTATGAGTGGCTCCTACGTTTTAATTTTTGAGTTTAAGAAAAGCAAGGGCTTAAGAAGCATACGGTATTTTTTAAGAATTTAAAAGTATTCCTGGCAAAACCGGGCAAGGCAAGCAAAAACCAGCCTGTTAAGACACACCCACAGGGTGTGTCTTAACAGATTGGTTTTTGCTGTGTTCTTCATACTGCATGCAGTATGCACAGCATACATACACCTCATAGTATGAGCCTCATACTATGAGGTGTGCTCCTACTGCGTCGGCCAATGCCTGAGTGGCAACAATATTTGGGCATTTGACCGGTAAAGTTAGTTCATTGTCATTGTTGTTGCTACGAGATTCATATTTTCGTAATGCTTAAAATCTCAGGGTTTCACTGTATGAATGTCGAGTGCGAGTTGGCATACGAGTACATCGCGCATGGCGTGCCACCACGGGTCTTAGCTCGAGCTGTAAATAAAGATAAAGGTGGGTCTTAGCTCTGTTGTAAATAAAGAGCTCGAAGGGCACCCGTTTGACGCAATGAACAACTCAGTTGTTACCCTTTTGTCTGTCAAACTTTCTTTGTCCCATTTCCTTCTTGCTTCGTCCTCAAAATCCCTTCTAAGCCCGGGAAGTGGCTGGAGAACAGAATGGACCGCAATAGGGAAATCAGGCGCTTCAAGCCTCTTCCTTTTCGACTGATACTACTGCTTTTCCTCTTGTTGCGGGCGTCCACTGCTACTGCCGCGGCGATACGCCAGGAGCCTCAAACAGGGCAGCCCGAGGTGAGTGATGAACCATCTAGCGAAAAAACCGGGACTTTGCTGTTGTACGTGCGCAGCTGGTGGGTTGTCGGCATCACAGTAGCATCTGCCCTGCCGTGGGCCGTCGTAGCGGTGCTGGACGCAATCGATTCCTCATATCGCACGGCTTCTATGATTCAAAACCGTTTGATAATGAGCACATGCTGCCTTCTACTCGCTTATATTTCTGGCATCATGTTCCTCGTCGTTCTCAGCGTGAACATTGTGAATGGCATTGAGGCCGGTCGTCATGATGAGGTCGCGACGGTGCTAGTACTGCTTATTTTCAACCTGTGGCACGTTGCCAGGAATGCACGTGGCTGGATGCAATTCTTTGCTCTCAAGAAACTCACCCCGTTTTTTCAGGGGGTACAGCGTTACTTGGCTGTTTCAGCAGGTAGGGACCCCAACGACACGCATGTGTGCGTGCAAGGTTTGACAAGACTCAGGATATCAAACCGATTGATAGATAATGACTGGAACCAATCAACTCCATTCCTGAGCCCATTCTACAAGATAAGATGCAGTTTTGGGGGTATTAGTCCGGGGGTTGCATCGCCAGGCATTGCCTCCCGGGTCATGAATAGAGGTGGAACCGAGCGACAGCCAACTTTTGGTGGGCATAGAGCTGCTGACAGCTTTGGTGATCCCGCCGCATTACCTGCTCTTGTCCCGGACAAAACGGAAGAAGCGTGGGCGGTGGCGGCTTGGAGGGCATGGTGGACCCAGGATACAGGTTTGCTTCACTGGCAAGTGAACAACCTTTCGGCACCAGAATCGTTTAGATGCGATAAGGAACATCGAAAACCAAACGTCGAAAATCTATTGACTCGCCAGCGAGGGCCCTCCTGGCCGACAGATCGCCCGGTAATCGACACCAAGTCCGAGGGTCAGCCTACAGTCACGACCCGAGAGCAGTGGGCGAATTGCCTACTCACGTACGGTACCGCAGAGGGTCAACAAGATACTCACGGGGAGTGTCCATCGTCGGTTGTCAACTTCAACACAGCGGCAGGTATTGCTGTGGTGGTCCGAGAGAAGACACGATTCCCGCCAAATCGCATGTCATCATTGTGGTACACAACCGCACGTTTTGAGGAGCTGTACGAAGAGAAGGCCCAGGAGGTACGAAAGATGTCCGAATTTAGGGATGTACTGTTCCCGTCATGGACATCGTGGCTGAACATCGCTCAAGATGTCGGAACGCATCTTTCCAGACCAGTATACCTCAGTGATTCATACCTCATCAATTTCGCTGGCGAGCTAGCGTCCGCTTCTCTAATCGTCGTGCGGTACCCGGAGAAGTATCGCAAACTGGTGGATCAAATATATGAGGATGGGTTAGACGCAAGATGGACGTTTGGATGGTCCGGGCTGCTGGCGTGTTTCACGCAGTTATGGACAAAGGAACGAATTCACATTGCGATGCTAAACGGGCTCTCGCTGCTGGCACTGAACAGTGGACAAGAGGTGGAACACATCGACCCGAACGTCCGATCGATGCTGTACGGATATGCAGCGTTTGCGGTGTCCACGCGAGCGGTGGGGAAGCGGATTGCGGAGGATCGCAAGGTGGAGTTGCTGCGGCGGTACACAACGGAAAGCGGGAAGACATGTCGAGGATCGGGGGTATGCGCGACCAGACTGGCTTGTAGCATCCTGAAAATTCCTGCCGAGGCATCGCACATGGACGGGTTACCCGCTTTTGCGACGGGATGGGCGAGTGAATATATGGAGTTTAAGCCCGGGAATCAAAAACCGGAGCATGGCGAGAGCCATGATGATGTGGAAATGAAGCACGGGTCGAGCAATGCATGGAGATATCCACACTCGCACATATAACGCTAACGATACGGACGCGTAACGCTGTCATTGTTTATCATGTAAAGTCACAATACTAACTTAATTCCTGCCAGTTTGCTGCTCCCCTCTCTATCTCCGAGGGTTGGCGATAAAGTACTTGTGGGGGAGATTTGGGGTACTGTACAGGGTACAGTACCCAGGAGTGGCCCCAGGACCAAAGCCTTCAAAAGATGATTTTATTGGTCTACGTGTACGCCAGGTGTACACGTGGACAATCTCCCTTTGAAGGGCGGCGGTCCTGGGAAGTGGAAGATGCTGGCGGCCCCTCTATAAGAGAAAGGGGCGCGCCGCGACACCCCGCGACAGGAGGGACACAACAGAAAAAAACAAGAACACCCGGACCGACCCCCCCTCTTGAAATAAACATCTCGCTTTTCTCTCTCCCCTACGCGCGCAGCCCCCCTTTTTAGCTGTCAACATGGTACTCTTGTGGAGGGGTGGCAAAGAAGACGGCTCCCTGTCACAGTTTGACGGGTCGAAGCCGGCCGACGTTCACAAGTTCTTCTTCGTCTTCGAGAATGTTGCCACCTCTGGCAAGTCGGACGAAGAAAGAGCATCTGAACTCCTTCGCTACCTGGAGGGAGATGCATTCGACTTCTTTTATCAAGCCTTTGTCAAGAACGGAGATATCAGTGCAGATGGCTCCGACTACCAGAAGGTCAAGAAGGCCTTGGTCGAGCGGTTCGCCCCGGTTGAATCACCTGAAGATGTGATTCGGGATGCGATGGCCGCTCGCCTTTCTTTCGGGGATCTCATTGGGTCCCTTCGAAACTCAGACCGTCTCTACGAGAAGGCGGGATTCATCGACGAAGCAAAGTTCTGACTGCTTCGCAACGCCGTGATGGAACATCTCGAGTTGGCCCAGTTTGCCATCTATCGAGGTGCGAAGACCTACAAGGCCCTATTCGACGCAATCATGGACTTCTGGTCTGGTCGCTGCGCCTTTCAGGCGGCGGCGAACTCCTTGAGCAATTCGCGCTACCAGGGGTCAGAGAGCTCGCAAGTTATGTATGAGCCGAGAGGGCAAGGTGGGTCAAAAAGGGTCATGATGCGTTCAAAAGCTCCCTTGTCTCCACTCGAGACGAAGTTTGACGCTTTAGCTGATCGACTAGCCGATATTTCCCTTATTATCAAGAAGAATCAGTCGAGGGATGACGCAACAGCATTCCGCCCCGCCCACGATCGTACTTGTTCTTATTGCAAACGACCGGGTCATGGCGCTAATAGATGCGATGCGAATCCGCATAGGGACACGAAATGCCCTCGCTGCGGAAAATTTGGTCATTCAGAGACAAGCTGTTGGGCTAGAATTGGTCCACAGAGGGGAGGTAGCGGTGCCTACCCTCCTAAGAAGACCCATACGGATATTGCCGTGTCGGGTACACGGACGGGTTCCGCAGGAAACCAGGTGAGTGTTGTGATACACAACGACCTCCCTGCTGATGAGAAGTTAGTGGCATCAGTCAAGAGAAACGCCGATGGAGAGCCGGTGGCCAAGACGCGAAAGGATGGTGGCGGCGAGCCAATGCCGTCCCTTCTCAACCCGCGTAAGTACTGGACTCCGAACCACATGAGGAAACCTCCTAAGCCCGGCCGTCGAACAAGAAAGAAGAGGACAAGTAAGAAGAACGCCGTCTAAGAGCACTCGGGGAAGTACGATGTGGTTTCTTCCCTCGCGAACGCCCCCTCTGGTTTGACATTCGGTCAACTGATTCGAGGAGATGGCGACGAGGCTAAGAAAGAGATCCGCCGTTTGTTCAACAGTCGCCCTAGACGCCCCGTAGCTGCTTCGATCGGTACTTTGCCGAAACGTCTGAAAGTAGTTTCGGTACAAGTCTACGGGACACAAATGAGAGCGTTGTTAGACTCAGGAGCTATCCCTAATGTTATGAATGCGTCTGTGGCATCGAAGCTCTCTCTGTCTCCAAAGCCGACCTCGACGAAGATTACGGTCGCCAATGGACAAAAGACAACCTGCTTAGGTTCCATCGAGGAAGTGCCTGTCACGTTCAATGGCGCTGTTACTTCACTCAACTTCTTGGTTGTTGAAGGATCCCCAGTTGATATCTTAATCGGGTATCCAACTCTCGAAGAACTTCAAGCCTGCATCGATCTAGGTCACCAGTCTGTTAGTATGTTGATCGGAAACAAAACCGTGAAAATGAGTCTGGAGTTTGATCAAGTAAGTCCTATCGTCGCGGATTCGGAGACTGATAGTGAGGAATTCACTTCTGATGTCGAGTCGTTCGCCTCAGAAAACTCGTCGGAAGAAGAGACTTATGTTGTCGCCATCCTCGGCGATGAACCTTTCGAGCTAGACTTAACTCTGGACGGAGCGACCGGAGAAGATGAGGAAGTAGAATCACCTGATTCGAATGTCATCAACAAGGCCGTGAAAATGCTTCGGGAAAAACTTGTGCATCTTGACAATGAAGCTCAAGCAGTCATTGAGACCGCCCTAATGGAGAAGAGTATCGTTACTACATCCCTTGACGATCTTCGGCCTGCTGAAGTCCCAATCAAGCACCATTTCGAGTTAGATGATACTAATCCGATCTATCACTCGGCGAGGAGAATGGCTCCCTTGCATAACGAAATCGTTCGGAAAGAGCTGGACAAAATGCTGGAAGCAGGAATCATCACGCCTTCCAGCGCCGCATGGTCCTTTCCGGTCGTCATCGTATCCAAAAAAGATGGGAATCCACGCTTCTGTGTTGATTACCGTTCTCTGAACCAGAAGATGAAAGCAGACAGATGGCCTTTGCCGAAAATAGAACAGATATTTGATGACTTGGAAGGAAGTGCGTACTTCACTTCTCTAGATTTGTTCAGTGGTTCCTGGCAAATTCGGATGGCACAACAATGCAAAGAAATGACTACTTTCGTCTGTCGCTACGGGACGTATAAGTTCGAAGTCATGCCCTTTGGATTGATGAATGCGCCTTCGACATTTCAGAGAATGATGGATACAATCTTTCGCGGAGTGCGGTTTGTGCGTGTGTACCTCGATGACGTTGCGGTGTTCTCTAAGACTATAGAAGAACATCTTCGCCACCTGCAGCATGTATTTGATGTGCTTGACGAGGCTGGTCTTAAGCTTAAGCCGACAAAGTGTAGCTTCGCCCAGGCGAAGATCAAGTTGCTCGGTCATGTTGTCGACAAAGGCGGGATTGCCGTTGACCCGAGCAAGGTCGAAGTGATTCGGAATGCACCGATCCCGACCACTGCGACTGAACTTAGGAGCTTTCTTGGGTTAGCAAGCTACTACCGTCGTTTCATCTGCAAGTTTGCGGACATTGCTGCGGTACTCCATGCGGCTACATCCGGAAACGGCAGATTGAAATGGACCGGAGAAATGCAAGAAGCCTTTGATGAACTACGCATAAAGTTAACTTCTCCGCCAGTCTTGGCTTACCCAGACTTCGAGAAGCCCTTGGTCGTTGAGACGGATGCGTCATCGTTCTCCGTCGGGGCTGTGTTGGCTCAAAAGAAGGAAGATGGGAAAATACACCCCATCCAGTACGCAAGCCGTACTATGAATACATCTGAGCGCAAGTACTCCGCTTGTGAGCGTGAGGCGCTTGCGGTCATCTTTGATTGGAAGAAATTTCGTGTTTACGTGCTTTCGTCTACACCTTTCAAGTTGATTACTGATCACCAAGCTCTTAGTTACGCCTTTCGCAAGAAAGACATCCACGGTCGTTTGGCTCGTTGGCTAGACTTCTTAGCCGAGTACGACTTCACCGTGGAATATCGTCGTGGATCCGCAAATAGTGCAGCTGACTACCTTTCTCGCATTCAGCCCAAGAGCAGCGACAACCCTACTTGCTAGGAAGAGGGAGACCTTGCCCTCGCTATCACGACCCCGATCTACTCTCCAGAAGATCTAGAAGAGTCTTGCCAAGATATCATGTCCTATCTGCAAGGCGAAACACCGGTTGGGTTGGATGATTACAGGAAGTCTCGCATGAAGAATAATGCGAAGAACTTTCTTGTCTGGGAGTCGAAGTTGCTCCGCCGCACCATTCGTGGCCTTCGTGTTGTTGCCCCAATTTCCGATCGCGAAAAGATACTGAAGGGTTTCCATGACGACATTGGTCATTGGGACTTGAAGACCACTCGTCAATTTGTCACGGAAAGGTACTGGTGGCCGACCGTTGGTATGGACGTGGGAGACTACGTGAAGAGTTGTGACGGGTGTCAGAAGGCACGTCCGATTCCCAGGTATAAGACAACTTTGCGCCTTCCCATCACAAGCTTGTTTGATGTTTTCTCTATTGACTTTGCTGGACCCTTCCCTGTCACTTCGTCTGGAAATCGCTTCGTGTTGGTTGCGGTCGAACACCTCACAAGATGGCCAATTGCTCTATCCACTGCTGATAGTACTGCTCAAGTGGTTCTCGACTTCGTCAAGAGAGAAATCATGTACTCATTCGGCCCTCCGAGAACTATTGTCTCTGACAATGCTACCTGCTTCACAGCCTCGGCCGTTTCTAGCTTCATGGCTCGGCACGGTATCACTTGGCGCGCCGTCTGCTTGGTTTTCGCCATCCTCGTTTAGATCAGGTTTCTTGCAAGGGGCAGACTCGAGGACTAAAACCTCACCTGAGTCCGCCACACAAGCAATCAGCGATCTCTGAGACTGGAGGCAATTAGAACCTGACGCGTTGACAGGTTCTTCAAGAAAAAAACGCAGGAACACTGAAGTTAGTTGTGTGAAAAGTAGAGAAGGTGGGTAGGTTAATGATAGAAGTGATAGCTTACAGTGATGATGAGCTGTACACGTGTATACGTGGAGCGATTGGGAGATTGGTGTCGATGGTGACACTAAATTGTGTCAAATGGGATCGTCAAGGTCGAGCACCGGTTCCCTGACTCAAGCCGATTGTAGTACAACAGCGCAAAGGCAACGGCGCCACCGCTGCCGCCCCGGGATACAGTATGATGGGCTGTAAGCGCGAGAAGAACTGTAAGGAGTT